ACATTTTGTTGTCAGCAGGCAGGTTAGTTCTGAAAATAGTGTAAATCTGCCAGTTTGTAAAAGGTGAACTCCTTGTAACTCTCAGAGAGACCTATGATTATTCAGCATAAGAAGGAATGAATCTGGATGTAGGGATAAAGGTCTAAAGAATCATGTCCTATTGTTACAACCTGAATCTTATTCTAGTAGTTGCTATCTAATATGATATCATTATATGCACTACCTTCATTGCAACAGTGTTCATTTTAGTTTTCTAAAATTCATCTTTTGACAAAAGTATTTTAATTTTAGTCAAATTTAAGTCATTGAGAAGCATGGTTTTGAGAGTGACATTTTTGTCCTGCGTTTTTTTTTATATCTTTTAAATGTTTTGAGGCTACATCTTTGTTGTACACAGTTACCATGGCTACAGGAGTTGTTCTCTCGTATTATGGGATTAGTGGAAAAGGCACTGTTTACTTGTCCTTGTGTCCATGTCACTCTGCCCTGCAGTAATACAGCAAACAGGCTGACTCTCCTCAGTTCCACTCTCACTCTATCATTCCTGCTCATCTGGCATTACCACAAAGACTCAATCAGAAGCTGATTCACTCACTGGTTTACTGAAATACTCAATCAGTGTTTAGGTTTAGTTTAAGAAGTTAACCTAAAATGTTGGCTAATGTAGTGATATTTCTTTAGTAAACATCCAGAGGCAGATTTAGGTGGTCGACATCCTAATCCTAGAATTTACTCATTCCTTTTGAAAAGTGAAAGATTGCCAATTGAACCTTTGACGTAACATTGACGTTACAAAGATAAATGGCTCAACAGTAAGGATTGCCCAGTTGCCCGGGGCAAGTACAATGCCAAGTCAGGCCAATAAATCAAGCTTGATTTGACAAATATGATATTGGAGTCACTTTTCAAAGGCATACTATTGAAAATAGCTAATAAATATAATACTGTTTTCAGTCAGTCGAGATTACCGGTGTTTGAATCTAAATAAAAACAAATTCACTTGTCTATTCATCCGTCCATCAATCGTTTAGTTTTTATTCGTCAAGTTCACAAAGCATACTTTTCATTTATTTTTGTTGTGAGAATAAGATCTCTAGTAGTTTGTTGACGTATGGATGAATATTTTGGGCA